CACCGAACAGCAGAGTATCGATCATTGAATGGTTTACAGCGTTCCGAGCCATGCTCACATCCGCCGGCTTGCGGTGTCAGTTATCTCTATACTGCTTCAAAGCCGTTTCCGACTCTGCGCGCTCTTCATGGAAGTCCACAATGGCTCTCCTCTTGATGCCTGCCAAATTTGCAGCCAGGCGTGTTGACAGCCAAAACTGGAGCTCTGCGGTGGCTGGGCCTTCGCAGGCCGTGCGTTTGTAGAAGACCCTGGCGTCCATCAGGAATTTGCAGCGATCACCAAACATAAGGCACATCACCTGTAACCGCCAGACGGCGCTCTGTAGCGTTTTGTCATTATGGACGGCACTTTCGGCTTCCTGAATCAGCCGTGCTTGTGGTTTTCCAGGATCGGCAATCGCTGCGTCTAAAGGAATCTTTCTTCCTTGCTGGCATGTACAGTAGACACAGTCTGTTCTGTGAGGAACATGGTGAATACGACACTGAAGGTACTGTACAAATTTTGGAGTTCAATTTACATTGTGAGGGTCACGGCTGTAGAGATCAGGTTCCAGTTAGTAGGTGGATTGTGATGACCCGTAGGGTCAGGTCTAGATACAAGATGTAACGCAAAGAAGAGAAAAGAGAGATCTCGCTGTGTGAGCGGCGCGTCGCCGCAAGAAAAGGGGTCGTGGCTTCGCCATGACTCGCGATACCCTTGACACCACCCTGGCACGCGATCCCGTGACATACGTGTATGTTCTGTACTGTATCGTTCGTCTGTATGTATGCACAAGAATAGAGGAGTGCTCCACTTGTGGCTAGAAAGCCTATTTGATGACGACGACTTTGAACACAAACGCACTTTAGCATAGCAATGAACCAGGTTGTACAGTACAGTGTTCGTGCAGCAACGTTGCCGAATTATGATCGGTATTATTCTGTCTTAGCATGGAATCAGAATCCACCAGAGCATCTCTAGACTTCACGGGAGCGCACGGTGCACCACATAACCTAGGTCTACCCGTCAGTAAAAACGCGATTTTTGCTATTCAAAAATCATGAGAAAAAATCCACGAAAAAAAAAAAAGAAAAAAAAAAAGAAAAAAAAAAGTAAAGCTGAATCTGGCTTCCAAGGTGAACGATATGCCTCCGGACTGATCATCCGCAAATCAGAAGAGTAGTTCCTTTCGAGTTCCAACCTTTGCTTGTGGCTGACGTCCCGCCAACACTTGGGGAAGCGAAAACGTCTCCAAGGGTTACTAGACAGCCAAAGTAGCTTTGACGTCGACTGGCAGACTACAGTATGGTAGCGGGTAGGGGAGGTGATTTGTGATATCCGAGGGCGAAAGCTAACCGGCCGGTAGCAGTAAGCAAAACTGAGGTAGCCTGAGGTCAACCGAGCTGGGCCGAGCTGTGCTGAGCTGTGCTGAGCTGTGCTGAGCTGGACTGAGCTGGGCTGAGCTGGGCTGAGCTGGGCTGAGCTGGGCACCCCGAGCGAGCGTGCTAGCCGCCCTAGACGCTCACTGCCACATTGTGCCCTTAAGCCTGAATAGGCTTACTTGATTTCGATTCATGATTGACGCGGCTCGTTCAATACAAAGCTCCCCATGAATTTGCTAAATTCTAAACCTGGGCGTGCTTCATATCGGAGCAATGCCCTTACCCAAAGCTTTGTTGTAACTGCTCAGTGTGTCAAGTGATATCCTCCAATACATAAAGAAATAGCATATGTGGCATCAATCATTTCTTATCAAAATATTGTTGTTTGGTTTCCACAGTATCTGAGTGCCCTCTTTAACGCTCGAGCTACGCAGTCAATGGTGTATAGCTTGTGCAGCGCTTCAAATTGTGTTGAATGACTCCACTAAGGACTCCATTTAAAATTTGTCGTACTCGACCTTTCTCGCCACCCCAAATGCAGAACACAGGACACTGAGTAGGTCTGAATAAGGCAGTCATATTCATACGCTACAGTATACATATAGGGAGGAAACCACAGCGTCATGGCTAGAGTGGAGAGTTAGAAACAGCGTAGTGGGGGTTCGCGCAGACATGTTCTAGGATTCTGCACTGACCGTTGGCCGATGGGACTCGCGTGCTTAAGACACTAATGGGGAGTTAAGCAGATACTTGTAAAACTGCTGGGACTGTATTGAATCACAGAGTTAATGTTCAGACTCTACATATATATGCATTGAGCGCCTAAGTCCGGAAGAAGAAGGGGGCCTTGGTTTTCGATAATGGGCAATGCATGAGACTACAAGCATAGGGGGCAGACAGATAACGGATTGAGGACAACACTTGATCCAGAAACATAACCACAAGTTCTGGGATGTTGTGGTAAGTTGGAACTCACTTTTTGGCTGAGGTGCTGCGCATAATTAAATGAGTGGGCGACTGGAGTGAACGGAAATTCCCAGACCGAAACATAGTTCTTTCTCATCTTTCAAATGGTCTTGCCGCAGAGGAAAAGCAATGAAGAGAGGGCTGAGTGGCGGGAAAAGTGTAGAAAAAAACTAGCAGATCACTTGAGTTGGCATTTTCGTTCGCACCTATCTCATCCGATGCTGATATTTCGCCAGATTCAACACTGGGTTTGCTTATCGAACCGTCAGACGTCCGCCTCAAACCCGATGGCGACGATCCTTACCGATGGAAGATTTTAGCAGGCCAGGAACATGTTTTTGGGCATCTCTTCGAAAAGCAAATGAGCAAGCAATCGAAAGGTGTATATATGAAGCTGTGGAGGGAAGTTGGCCAGTCTTTCGAAGCAGTGGCACACGGCGATGGCGAGGACGGAAGCGACAACAATCGTGTCATATCATTCTCCGAGCAGATTGAAGCGCTCTACCTTGAAAACGCCAGGTTAGAGCATGACATCAGTCGGTGGAGGCACAAGGCAGAGGTCGCTGAAAGGGAGTATAGCGAGTTGCTATACAGCTATCACAAGCTGCAATCACAACATACTAAGATGGTCGACATAACCAGCAAGTACAAGAGCACCGCCATGCGAACCCTGACGGAGGCGTATCGTATGTTAGAGGAGTTTGACTCAGCAGAGGTTGAACTTCAAATAGTAGCTCAAACCCACGAATAAAGTAAAGGTATTCCATCCACGGTTCATGTCTTGTACAATAAATCTAGTAGTTCCTCCTTGTCCTTCTTTTCTTCCGCGGTTTCTGGATTCCACTCTCTTGTTCGTTGAAATCTGAAATGAGGTTCTCCTCGACTTCGTGTTCCCACAGCCACGAATCCTCATTTGCTGGACGGTAGTTCCATCTCATGAGATATTGTGCATTGCCCTTACGCATCCTCTTCTGGAGTAAACGTCCAAAATCATTCTTTTTGCCACTTTGATCATATTGTCGTACCAGTTCACCATTTATATCCTGAGCCTGTAGCCATGTGTTGTGTTCGTGGCTCCAGTTATTCCACTTGACCAGATACCATTGCTTCGACCTAGCTAACAGTTCATCGACAAGATAAACATCATCAGCCAACTGAATGTTGGTTGAGGGCTCGAAACCATTGGGAGACCTTCCACAGGCGAGAGCCTTGTCAACGGCCGTAAGTTCGGTTGCAGGATCCTCTCCCGCAAGTTCGAGGTGGACGCTGCTCTCGAGAAATTGAGCCATCGGTTGGGCGTGGTTCGAATGAGGCGCCGAGAAGCAACTATCTGACGCGACTGGCGCTTGCGGACAACGGCGTTGAAGTTGCTCAAGTGGTCTAGATGGATCCTTTACCTGCGCTAGTCTCAGCTGAGGGTCTAGAACGTCAGGGTTGAAGTCGAGGGACGGGTGTGACGCTGAATGAACCGACTCAGAGTCCAGCAAGCCGAGCCTCATTGCATTTGTTAGTGGGCAACTCCAGTCGCTGATGTGATTCTCGTTTTGTTCGACGTTTTTGCCCATAAAAGCCCCTACTTCTGTACTTTCATCTCCGACACAATATTGGGCGTAATTTGTTCTTGGCAAGTTATCGTCGCCGTTGGCTTCATTCCTTGTCCGTTTCCGTCCCCTGACTCCAGCATGCGACTGCCGCTTGGCCAGGTAGTGGGTGTCTTTCAGGTGGTATTGCAACGCTTCTGTGCTTGCGACTTGCTCCGTACATCCAGAGTAGATGCACTGGACAGGCCAAGATTGAATCTTGTTGATGTGCTGTTGCAAGTGCAACCAGAAATTGGTCGGCGAGTAGTCTTTAAGCCGAAGCTCTTCAGGTGTCTGTGGTGCTGCGCAGGCTCCACAACGGTATTCTTTGACAACGGTATTGTTGTAGGTGATTCGATCGCAGCTCCTTGGTCTCAGTTCGGCGTGGAAAATATCGCAGTGCCGGCTCCATTCATGGTTGCCCAGTGCGAACCATTCAAAACAGTCATAGCAGTAACGCAGGCTTCTGGAGTTGTAGCCCCTGGTCTTGCTGATCTGCATACGTCGACAGCCGTGGATGTGATCAGCCCTTGATCTCTTCTGAATGCTGCAAAGCGTCAGTCGTGGTAGCATAAAACAGTGACATAATGTAACACACCTTGCCATGGTTATCCCGCAGACGGGGCAATTTCCGTCCACCGGCTGTTCGTCAGGACGGTATGGTGTGGTCAAGTCTTTGACGCACAGACTGTAAAGGGCGTTTTCTGCCTCCCTCAGTTGGCCTTCTGTTAATCCTTCTTTCAAGCTCGCTAGCTCAGCGATCTTCCTTCTTTCCGGCACTAGCTGAATGAGAACATGGGGCTCATAAGACTCGGCAAGTGGCTCGACGTGGCCTCTTTTCAACACAATTTCGCTCTGTCGATTCCGCACCCACTGTTTCTGGTACTCTTTCAGATCCTCGCGCTTCAACCTTTTCAATAGATTGACTAATTTGCGCTTGGTTTCCATTCTTTCAGAGGCAGATACGCAATCATCGAGCTCAGACTGGAGCTCCATGATCTCGGGAGATCGATGGATTGCCTCCTCGCGTTCGGCAGGGATCGACGATGGCAAACCCTCCTCTCTGCATCGCTCCAACCCTTGAAAGTGTTCCACAGTCTCATGATTTAACGGAAGGTCGAGGAAAGCTGCTTTTCCATTGGCTGAAGACATGTTGGCCATGTAATCGCGGCCGTAAACTCTAGTGTCGGATTGCGTGATGTGTTGCGATCGTATCGCTTCCGTGTAGATTCCTGTGTTTTGAAGTGTCAGAATTGTTACCAACCTAATTTTGATGCCTCAATCAAAAGAATTACCGTCCAACTTTTTCCCCAAGCCTCGTCGAACCATATGCATGCCTCCCCGGGAGAGAAAGCCTTCACCCAACAACAAAGCTCTCCAGATCTCCTCGTATTCTTGCCGTTTCATTGGCTCGTTGGTAACAGTCCCGTCCTTTTTGACATGCCGGAGAACTGGGAGCTTGAGTGCTTCGTCCTTCCATCTCAAAGAAACGTGATCTTTACCATCTGGGATCTTAATTTGATGGATATCATCCCAAGAGTCAATGTTCTCCAGTGCACCATCAGCTAGAGCCATGACGAGCAAGAATGTGATCTCGTTGTAAAGAAGAGTTGTGTCTCCTTCCCCTGAGATGCCGTATCTTTATCACTATCGTCTTAGCAATTCGCTCACCAAAGTGCCTCTTGGTCCAGATGAAACTCACACAACATTCTCGGGATCTCGGTTATTCTTGACCCATCGTTGATCAAGCCGGTAGGCCGGCTTCACTTCTCCGTTGTCAAATCGCTTCATATCAACATGAATGTCCTAATCGTCCCATCAGAACAAACGATAAACTGGTTATAGTGGCGCAAACATACCCTGTAATGGAGCCCACCTGTGAAGAATGCGCCAAGTCGAGCTCCCGACCAACAGTATGTTGGAATGATATATGCTACCTGGATTCTGGTCCGTTCATGCATGTACTTGAGGTCGGTTCTAGTCAGCAAGCCTCGCATGATCCGATCAAGTTCTTTGCTAGTGAAATTGAACTTCGGGACGCGAACATTCTCGATCAATCTTTCCTCTTCGCAAAGTACTCTTTTGAGCCACTGTGTGCTGTCAGTTTCTAGGGACGAAGGGCAATATGATATGACTCACTGTGTAAACCTCGGATCTGTCATCCTTGGAGACGACTGTAGAAGTGTATCTAGTGAAGCCGGCAAAAAACCATTCTGCCACGATCGACATTGTGTCAAGTGTTGGAAGTCCGTTCCGACTGATTCGACCTTGACTCTGGTGAGAATAGAATCGGAGAAAGTCCTTGACGTCCCCAAGAGGTGGAAGCTGGCGCGTATCTCCCAAAAATCTGTCGCGGATGAAAGCTTCTGACTGATTCATGGTGGTGGAATCAAAATTCATCCGCCATCTATTCGGTTGTCAGCTTCTTGGCAGAGGATGCGAACCTCCAGCAGGACGTACGCGATGTAAACCTTCAGTACACGGTCTTGGCTCTTCAAAACGGCTTTTTTATACTGATTCAAACCCCGTTTTGAGTCTGTATCAACATGTTGAAAGGGTTTGTAGCCACTCTTAACGGCACGCGCAATTGCATCAGCGTTTCGATCTTTGGTAGACATGTTTGACAACTGAGCGGAAATAGACAGTGAAATGGTACATAACAAGAGAACGGGTTGAAGGACCTGTTTTCGATAAGAAAGAAGCAAAGGAAATCAGTGTCGAATGGCTAAGGACTATTTTTCTTATATAGTATGGCAGCCCCCGTGCGGCGTCTTCGACCCCCGAAAGACCGACAATTCCAGCTTCGCGGACCCTGCTTTCCCGCCTCACCCTGAGTGAGCCACTTTCACCCTCGCCTACCTTCAACCTCACCCTAAAAGCAGCGTGTCTCGGTGAGCCTAGAGGGAGCTCTGAATGTTGATTCCACGTAATCTACTGCCATTGTGCAAGTTCCTCGACAAGGAAATCCCACACAAGCCTTTTCCACATCTTAATGATGGCAAAGAATTTGAGCTATGGATGCGGGATTTCCAACATAGGGAGGTGAAGAGAGGGCTGATGGCTGCGATGAGGACCATGAGGTATCTGATCGTACCGGTAGCAGTGTCTGGTATCGTGCTGGCTTTAACGAGAATCTGGAGGTTCTGGACATGATATCCGAAGATTGTCTCGGAGCCAGGCAGCATCGCCGATATCTGGATAAAAGCCGAGGCCCGGCGCATGACGCCCATGACGCCGGCTCAGACTTCTCACGATCAATGGGGCTCACGGGGTGCTGCTAGCTTCTCCGAATGACAGAAACGTTTACAAATACACTCCTCACCGTGTTGATTGCGCCACGATTCCAAGGTCTCAGCGCCAGTGCTCGGCCCGTGGATGGCAGATCTTCTACCCAAAAAGGTGAGACTGTGTCTCACTCTATCTTAAGTGACTTAGACAGGTCATCTCCCTGACGGAAGCGACGTAGGACAGGCATAGTAAAATGAATAGGATCTGGGCGGACGACTGCAGTGCGTCTACACCTTGATTCAAGATGTTTAGGCCGGAAATTGACCGTCGAATTCTCCTCTGTTCATGGAATGCCGCCAAGGCTGACGAATCGCAACTCATCATAGACGATAGAGCATACGTGCATCCATAGCTAAAGAAGCCCGTAAGGTGCATTGAAATTTGCCTCCGCTTCCTTCGCTGCTTGGCTTCGCCACAAGGACTGATTGTGTGCCCGACTCTGAAGGGAATCTTAATGGGCTAAACAATATTAACCCACAAGATTAGTAAGATGTAATTCTTGGCTGATCGTCCGCTGTCAATTCTCTCAGCACTAAGCTTGGCCAAGACCTGATCAGGACCAGGTTAATGGAAAAAAGCGCTTGGCAAGCACGCCTCAGCAAGCCGCACAATCGTAACATTACTCAGCCGGCGACGGGAATTTGGCCGCATCACTAACGGTGTTTGTCTACACTTACAACGCTTACATGTAGCGAGCATGGTAGTGAGTACTAGTGAACACAACACCATGTGATAGTAAGATACACAAAGCCTATTAATGAGGAGTATGCCAGTATAGAGACCGACAGAGAATTCAAGTGCAAGCATTAAATACGTATGGCTTCTTGTCACCGAAACCGATTTTCAACAGCAAGAAACCCACCATACCACGATTCTTCTTTCTTATCTGCATCAATTCCCTGAACTACTATTGTCGCAACTGCTCACTTCAGCAACGTCAAAATGTCGGGACTTCAGTACTTCTCGTATAACGGTTATGGCGAGAAACTGTTGCAGGAGATGCATTACAGTCAAGCAGTCCGGGTGGGGGATAACATTGAAATATCTGGCCAAGGTAATTAATTTCAAGCAGGGTGTATGTACATGATGTGCAAACAAATTGCTCACTAAACCAAATTCAAGGGGGTTGGGACTCAAAGACTGGAGAGGTTCCCAGCAATCTCATGCAGGAGATCGACCAAGCATTTGAAAATGTTGACATTGCCCTGAAGGAAGCTGGCGGCCAAGGATGGTCACAAGTCTTCCGCATCCGGTTGTATGCACTTGACGAGGCCTGGACTGAAGATGGCCTTGGCCGAATGGTAGAGAACATGAGGAAGTGGGCTCCCAACCATGCGCCAATTCTGACAGGTATTGGGGCCTCAAAGCTTGGGCAACCCGGTATGCGGCTCGAAGTTGAGGTCTCGGCCTACGACCCCAATGGTCCTAGATAGACTCCAAGACTGGCCAATTGCCGCCTTTGGTATATGAACAAGCAAGAATATATTAATATCATTTCTGATGACCTCTGACTCATTTGTAGATGAGATTAAGTGATGTTCCTACTCTCGTGGAATCCAGGTCAGTGGCACAGTACAATTGGACGACGCAGTTGCAACCAGTTGTTCAATGATGCTGCTGTCATCTCGTCCTCAAATCCCAGAACTCTGAGTAACACACCCCGCAGCTATGTAATGGGTATCACGAATTTTGTTGAAGTACTTGATGACTACACAGTTGTCGCAAAAGCCCCTCAGCTTGAGGCCCTGGGTGCTACCTCTTTCTCTGCCAGTACCAAATTCCAACACCAGCAATAGCAATCGCTGACGAAGTGAGAATTCGCATCGTCTTCTTGATTGCGGGAGAGACCACCATCTCTGCGGCAACATGAAAGTCGGACATGGCGTTGATGCGCGGGTAAGGGTCCTCGGGAACGTCTTTCCCTAGGAACGTGCAGATCTCTTCCCAGCCAAATCCCTTTTCAAGGTTCAAGATCAGAAGCCTGTCAGAAGGCACAAGAGCTTTCACACTCTCTAAACTGTTGCAATCGTCAACATCTGCTCATGGCGATTTTGAAGCGCAAGACGTCAACTCACTAATCAACATAGCTCTTGGAAAGTGCTTCATTGAACCCAGGGGAACTGGGCTCCAGGCCGCCAGACCATCTGTATGTCATGGCTCTGAATAGTGCAGTAAGCTCCCAGATAAAGCTGTCAAAGTATCTGGCGATTGACAAAGGCGGCTTCGCTAGCTTTGCATGATAGGCTCCGAGGGATCCCGCAATTGACTTGGCCCATGACTCCGGGGTACGCTCCGTCAAGATGAACTTGACATCCGAGTCTTCCAGGTACTCTTTGATGATGTTTGGACAAAGATAGCAAGGACTTTCGACGATGCACTAAAGGTTTATGGTATTAGATGAGCTCCTCTAACCAGCTCTCACAGCCGGGACACCTGAACTTACATCATAACCGGCGAAGAGTTTGTCAAACTCGGCTCGTTGAAATGGCTTGTCGCTGTCGTTGGCAATGATAGCCTCCTGGAGTGCTCTCATCTGCTGAAAGCCATAGGGTAGGAGCTCTGAGATGTGGAAGGGGGTATACCCCAAAGTCTTCAGTGCTTGCCATAAACCAAGGGTTCCAGTACTGGTGAACAGATGAGTGAAGTGTCTCCAAACCTTGATATTGCGCTTTCGCTATAATTCTTACCGGCTAGGACCAAGTCCAATAATTTTCATCGAGCGGCTTTCTGCGGGAGCGGGAAGTTTATCGATAGCTCTGGACATTTTGACAGATCTGTGAAGGATGCAGTAAAGCTTGTTGGCACATTGGTGTAAGCAGCGCGGTGTCGCTGACCCTTTTACTCGTAAACTCCAAATGTTTCTCCGCTGGTAGACTCCATTGCAACTGCCGGGTTACCTACCCCAACTGCCCCTGGCTCGTTATCAACTCCATCAACATGCCACTGACTCGTGATGCTCGCCGACTCATGCGTGTGGGTTCCCAATGCTCGGGGTAATAATTGAGTTTGGAACGTCGTATCTCGACCCGCATGGGACTTTTCAATCAGCGCTCTGCAAAGATAATGTCAAGATAGCTATCTGGAATTACCCTTACCATGGGTCGATTACGGATGATCTTATCCTTCAGGCGTGTGTTGTGCTGTTGGTATTGACAAATCGACACGGATGGACGAATCAGGAGCTTTAGAGTTCGAGGCATATCGATAGATTCATAATACCTGCTAGATGCAATAACTGTGTGTCTCTGTTTCGTGCTGCAATGCCAACTGAATCCGCTAGGTGTTCGTCCAATCACCAAATCCAACAGATCATCACCATAGCATTGTTCAACTACACCGCGCCGTGAACGCGATGCACCTTTCAACACCAGACGAAATGGCCACGGCTACAGCCACGACCACGAAAACTCGTCGGCCGCTCAAATTCTTGTTGCATTGTTTCTCCGCCACCGGCCATGTTTTGCCAATGCAGGCCGTCGCCAGGGAGCTGGTTGAACGTGGCCATGAAGTCGTTTGGACTACCATAGCACCCCAGGAGCAACGAGTCCTTGCATCGGGGGCGAGATTCATTACCGCAGAGGAAGTAGTGAAAGTAGATGCCAACCTAGAGGGCGCCAATCCGAAAGACATGGCCGAGACGGCAGAAGTCATGTTCCGAGGGCGCGTTACGGCACAAGTCGCTGATATCCGTCGTGTCCTCAAGACGTTCAAGCCGGACTTTGTTCTCACTGACGCTCTGCCTCAGGGCGTCGCAGCGCTCTACGAGCTGGGCGAGATTCCTCATTACGCAACTCTGGGGGTTGTCCCGTTGTATCTGCCCGACATAGGGCCTGAGCCCATCGAGCATGCTGCTCAATCTGCTCTAGGAATGCTCATCAGTCAACCACAACTAGTCCTGCCCACGATCAACCCAGAGAGAGAGAAGCTCGGGCTGCCCGCCCTCAAAGTCACAGACACGTACTCTTACAGTCCTTTCCTGCACATCCAGGCTTCGTGTCCTTCCCTGGAATTCCAGGAGGGCCCCAAGCCTATTCTTCCTCAGGCTCAGTATGTCGGACCTCTGGTTACACGTCTTGGAGGTGCAAGTGTTGGTATGCCAACGTGGTGGCAAGATGTCCTCGATGCCAAATCCATTATTGGAATCACACAGGGCACGTTTGCCATGGACCCGACGTCACTTATCATTCCCGCCATCAAAGCGCTTCAGGACGACAAGAGTCACTTGCTGGTTGTGCCATCGAAACTCGCCGACGAGATCCGCGATAAGGTCAAGATCGAGGATAACGTCCGTATCGCGGATTGGGTTCCCTATGACCTCCTCCTTCCACGCTGCCGTCTGCTCGTGACGAATGGTGGATACGGCAGTGTTACGCAAGCCCTTTCACACGGCGTCCCTCTCGTCTGCGCCGGAACTTCGGAGGACAAGAAGGACACAGCTGCGCGAGTGACTTGGGTTGGTGCGGGTATTGATCTGAAGACCGATACTCCCTCAGTAGACCAGGTTCGCGATGCAGTGCACAAGGTGCTCAATGAGACAAGTTACAAGGAGAATGCGACGAGAATTGGAGAGGAGCTCAATGCACAGGGTGGTGCCAAAAGAGCGTGCGATTTGTTGGAAAAGGCGGCGGTAGAGCTAAGCGCCCCGACGGGGGAAACATAGATAGAAAACCCACGAAGAATACAATAATGTCGTAGATTCCCTACAAGAATTGATAGAGTTTGACATCTGCAAGCTGTGACATGATGACAGCAAACTTTGTTCTCGTAGAGTCCCATTCTGTTTGCGTCACACGTGTGGTAATTTACGAACCCAGTCAATTTTCTGCCTGTCAGCGTTTTGCCAAGAAGTGATACAACGTTGTACGCTGACATCGTGCAGATAACGCGGAGTCTAAAAAACCAAATTTAACACCACTTTTGAACACGGACCAAACGTTCGTCCCGACGGGAAGCTCGGACTTTACGACATGCAAATTCATGCTAACAAGTGATTAAAAATAATGTGCGAATAGGGATAATCAACATCATAAACTGTATCGGATATCAAGTAATAAAGAATAGCTACACCACCACGCAACAGCTTAGTATCTCATCACTCATTATTATGGCCTCCGAGCCTGAATCATGTCCTTCTCGCAGTCAAACGACTGGGGGCTGAGATATGTCACCACCCTTAATTGACCCTTGGCCAGAGCACATCCGACATAGTAATGACTGCCACAACGAGTTTCCAGAGTTTTGCGCCCACTAAGAGACTCGTTAGCGATTGCAAGCGATGAGTTGATTGGGAGGATCTTACAAGATATCATTCAAGGCTTGTTCGTAGTTGTCCATCATTGAGTCCGACCGACGGGTAGAGAAGAACTTGCGAAGGCGGGCAAGAACGTCTACGTCATTCTTGCTAAAATAGTTGGGAGAAATGTACACCTTTGGTGAAATCGCTCTACCACATCCGAGGGTGTAGTAGAAGCCCGGTGATGCACGTCCGGGGGCGTCATCATCGAGAACATCTGGTGCGTCCGCTAAGAAGGTCTTCCAAAAGTCCTTGAGGTCGTCAATCGCCTCGCCCGACATATCTAGCTTGCCCCCGAGGGTCAGACAGTCCATCATATACTCGAAGGTTGTATGCTTTGCTCTGATGTACACCTTGATGCGAGCGTCTTTCGGTGCGAGGCAGTCGATGGCGAGGATGCCCGTCTCGAAGCTGTACTTCTTTGTGCCTTCTCTAAGGAATTCCAGGAGGGGTTCGGCACCGAGTGATTTGAACTGGTCGGTCGGGAGGCTACGAATAGACTGCTCCACGAGCTCGAGGTTTGTGATGCCGAGCTCTTCGGCCTTAAGCCCGGGATAGATATAGATCTTCATGACGGGTCCGCTCTTCTCGATGTCGAGGGCCACTACTGTGCCTGCCTTTGGCGTTGTCTCTTCGATGAAGCAGTCCACGGTCTTTGTCCGCGTACCATGGGGCAAGATTTGTCTTGTGAAGTGGTTGTACCATTCCAGGTCCAGGTTGGGAACCAGCTTTTGTTGCTGAAGCTTGAAGATCCAGTCGTTTGTTGCGTGTCTGTTGAGGGGGTCGAGCTCTGTGCCAGCGTGAAGGCCAATGGGCTCGAAAGAGTAGCGAACGACAGCTTGGTTGTCGCGGCCCCATTCCCAACTAAAGTCAATGGGAGTAGAGTCTGGTGTCCCGGGACTTCTCCATCTTCTGACATTGCCGTGGCAGTCTGGTGAGGGACCGAGCTCAGGAGCGACGAAGAGGGAGTAGAAGTTGAGCTCGCGGTACTGGTCTGCTGCGCTGTAGCCGGCGTATTTCAGGAGCTTAGAAAACATGCGCCCTGTCTTATCCCACCAGAATTGGGAATCGTCGTCCCTGAACCGCAAGACGGAGTTCAGAAAGTCCCAGGGCTCATTTGACATGATCATTTCACCCATATTGAATATGATACCGCGGCGCAGGACGTAGTGATTGGAGCAAAGTAATGTGAGAGGCAAAAGTCGAGGCGCAAGAGCGAGAGCGAAGGCAGCTCAGCAGAACTCCCAGACGATCTAGCTGGTGTTATATCACATATCTCAACGTAAACCCCGCGAAAGCAATCACTATAACGGCCCCTCAGCTCCCGCCACTTTGCCATCCCAACGCCGTCGGGGTATATCCGTAGGTGACGACTCTTGCCTAGCTCATTGGTTCATCTGATGCGGATGTTGATACTGGGGTTCAGAGTCGTCGACTCGTGGGATTGCAAGGTAAATGTGTGGCATGGGCCTGTCAAGTTTCGTGATAACTTGGACCGACCAGGGGATCCTGGACGCTCCACGACGGCAGCGCGGTTTCCAAGGTCGATGCTCGCCTGATGGCGGATACATGCCGGCGGGAGCCCTCTACGAGACCGAGTCAAGTCATGCCGAACATCAATATGAAATACATTCTAGTCACATCCTACTTTTCACCCATCCGCGCTTGTAAAGGGACCACATCTAGGATATCTGTTGGTCAGATTACGTCTCGGTCGCTACGACTTCTTGCCTCCTTCTGACAGGCTCCATACGGACATTGATACAACTGAGAGCCTGCACGATATGAGTGGCAAAGGTAATCTCTATACGAACTCGTTTTCGGAGCAGCGTTTTATGCTAAATATCTAACGGCTGCGTATTCCAAGAAAACGCGACTCTAAATCTCCACTGATTAGCATACATGGCCTGATGACCATAAGGAGTGCTCCGGCACCCAGGACTATGCACGACTGAAGGTCGGGGTTGGAGGAGATAAGCCAAACTGCCCGCTCGAAGCCCCTCGTTATAGGGATGTTTCGAAACAGGTGCAGCCTGTTGCTGATCAATACATGGACTTAATTACAATTGCTTATACGACGGCTATAGAATCCTGCGTACACTATCTCATTGACTAAGCACCTTGGCACGACCATTGGAGGCTTGCCTTGCCGCGAGCTTGCCGCTCGGATCGCAATAATGCAATCTTGTCATTCTAAGTGAGGAAGACTCCACACATCGAAGCTTTGGTATCTATCATATCGGTACGATAAACCGGGCCCGGCACTCGGTCAAAGTATAATAAATTGACCTGGACTGTCGACGAGTCATGGCACACTCCACGATTACCCCAGAAGCCAAGATGAGCATCGACGTCGGCCTGCCAAGAAGGAAAGCAAGCTCAAACACCTTCGGGCTTATCCGCTCTCATTCCCAATGCTTCGGCCGTGGGGTTACGCTAACAGTGGAACATATCAACCGAAAGTTCAAGCA